ACACACACACACACACACACACACACACACACACACACACACATATATAGCAAATAACAGTGTCTGGCAAAAAATAGGCATAAAATAATTGTTAGTTCTCTTCTTGAAGGATTATACAAGTATAAATTATCTCAATTAAAAGCCTTGGTGCACTGGGCATGGTGATGCTTTCCTATAATCCAGTACTCTGGAGCTGAAGGCAGGAAGATCACAAATTATGGGCCAGCCCGGGCTAGAGAGGTAACTTGTTTCAAAAATATTTTAAAAGCCATTTGGGGGACTGGAGAGATGACTCAGCAGTTAAGGGTGTGCACTGCTTTTGCAGGGGACCTGAATTAAGCTCCCAACACCATATAGGACTGGTCACAACCACCTGTAATTCCAGCTGCAGTGGTCTGACACCCTCTTTTGGACTCCTCAGGTACTTGCACTCAGGTGTGCACATACCCACACATAAATATACACATAATTAAAAATAAAAGAAATAGTTTCTTAAAAGGCATTTGGAGAAATTTAACTGAAATAATGATTTTCAGTTTTGAGTTTTGCAACTGTGATTGTATTTTTCTATTCCATCCTTCACTCTATTATTTTATTCTTCTTGTTGAAATAAAAAAAAAACAATGGAAAAGAGATTTATGCTGTGGGTTCTGTCTCCTCATTTCCCCTATACCTCAGGCATGTTTCGCTCACAGCCTGAAGGCCACATGCAGCCAAGGATAGCTATGAATGTGACCCAGTATAAAACTGTAAACTTATTTAAAACATGATGAGACTTGTGTGATTTTTTTTTATAACTCAGTTATGGGGTTCTCAAGTATGAACTCTGCAGATGACAATGGTGCGTCACAATGTCAAGAGGTTTGATGTGCCTGCTTGACAATCTGCTGTACATCTTTCGCAGGTCCCAAATAAAACTGTAACCTTGACAAATGTACCTAAAGTTAATTTTAGAGTCTTGTTAGATAAATGTTATTAAAAACACTGACTTCTTTTATTTGTTCATGATATTGGCAGAACACTAACACTATGATGTGATGATTAAGCGACTCACACTTGGTGTCCAGAAGCTTTGCTCTTTGAAACAGAACACAGTATGTCCAGCTCTCCAGAGCTCTTGAGGTGGTAGGCAGAAGGAAGTTAGCTAAAATAACTTGATTAAGAAGAAGGTAGAACACAGAGGCTCCCAAGAGGTGAAGCTTTGAAGTTGCTAAACCAGCACACAAATATGTCGTGTTTCCACCCCCTTGCCTTGGAAAGTAGTGACTGATAAATATGGGAATAAAATAGCCTTATACAGCTTCTGAGCTGTGAACAAAAATATTGTAGCTTTCTTTTCCTCCTGATATGAAACTTCATCTGCACTATGAGTGAACTCCCCCTAAAACCAGTTGAAGAATTAAATTACCCGAACACCGAAGAGAGTGGGCCAGTTCTGTTGACATAACTTGTATGATCAGACCAATTCGAAGACGAAACATTTCAGCAAAGAGACCAGGCTGAGTTCTCATATACATGGCTAGATATACCATTATTTCCTGTGTACAGAATGGATATAAGCAAAAATTATATAGTACATGTTTCACAATGTCTAGTTTGCTATTTTTGCAAACTGCCAGCTCCATTAAAAACAAATACTAAAACATCAATTGTCAGGTTAGGCTTTATAATACTGCTCACCTGTGTAAGGATTGAAATGCTCATGTCTCCTTCACTGGCTTCCTCTATCAGCTGAGTCAGTGCCTCATATGGCAGAGGCCTAAGGAAGAAAACAGTGAATAAAGTAGAAATTCGATAATCACATAAGCCTAAATATACATATTTTAAAAAATCTCTTCCCAACTCTGGAGAGTTGGGGCTGCAGAGATGGCTCAGCGATTAAGAGCACTGGCTGCTCTTGCAGAGGACCCAGGTTCGAGTCCCAGCATCTACATGGCAGCTACAAACCATCCTTAACTCCAGTTCCAGGGGAATCCAAAGCCCTCTTCTGACCTCCACAGCATTGCACAACACGGGTGCACTCACATACATGCAGGCAATACACTCTTACACATAAAATAAAAATAATAAATAAAATATTTTTTAAAAACCCAAAAATAACCTCGTCCCAACTCTAAGTCACTGCTTCAACACCACATCATTTATGGTCCTTTCCGAGTCCAAATCTTATCCATTGCCTTCTTGGCACGCTCTGGCCCATATCAATTTTTGTAAAGTCTACTACACCTTCAATTTTTCATTTAAAACTCACTCATGATGTCCTTCCAAACTAGTCTGTCATGGCTAGTTTTAAACATGATGTTTACAAAGAAACTAGTTTTAAGCATGTTATTACTTTATAGCTGCATCTTACAGGGCTATATTGATTTTTTAATAATTTCATCAGTTCAGCTACAATTACAAACACACATGCACACAGCAGGAATATACACGTTCTCCCACATTTGTGACTTTCAATTTTTTATTTTTTTGAGACAAGGTCTTGTTATGTAGCCAAAGCTGGTGGTTAAATTTTTGATTCTCCTGCCTCAGGCCCCAGAGTGCTGGACTTGGAGGCATGCACCATAATATCTGGACACAGCTGTGAGACTCTCAATGACATGACGTACTTTGCAGGGGTATATCATGCCATATTTTTTTGAAATGCCTATAGTGACACAAACCTGATCTGATTTGTGGTAGAAGGTTCTGTTTGACAGGAAATTGTGTCCCTCAACATTCCTACATTGAAATTCCCATATCTAGTACATTAGAGTGTGATCTTAATGGGAAATATGGTTTTAAGAGGGAATTAAAATGAAGAAATTAAGTGAATCCTTTTTTAAAAAATAATTTATTGAGAATTTCATACATGCATATAAGGTGTTTTTTTTTTTTATCAAATCCATGCCCACTTCCTCCTCTCCAACTCCTCCCATATCTCTCCACCACTTAAAAAAAATTATTTATTATTTTTATTTTATGTGTATGAATGCTATGTCTGTATGTAGGTAAGTGCACCCATGTTGTGCAATGCCCACGGAGGACAGAAGAGGCTCTTGGATCCCCTGGAACCTGGAATTAGGGAAGGTTGTTAGCCACCATGTGGGTGCTGGGATTCTAACCCTAGTCCTTTGCAAGAGCAGCCAGTGCTCTTAATGGCTGAGCGATCTCTCTAGCCCCAAGATTAATAATATTTTAATCACAGAAATTTAAAAAATTAAAATGCATATGATTGAATGGAACAGAGTATGTTGCTAAGAGGCCCAAGGACATTGTAAGTTTTAGCCAAGAAACTGGCTACTTTTCTTTGGGGTCTTTTTAGCCTAACTGCCTAGCCAATTCCTATCTCCTATTCTTATCACACCATCCTCTGAAGAGGTTATCCAACTGTGGATAGGGAATTGGGACACAGACCATTCTGGCTTCTTCCATGCTGAACAGGAATGCAGGGTGACACAATTGGGGTATCCCTTCAGTGGGTCTCTGATTCCTTGTCTAATACGTCCTTATAAAAGGGGGAAATTTGGGGCTGGAGAGATGGCTCAGCAATTAAGAACACTGGTTGTTCTTGCAGAAGACCCGAGTTCGAATTCCAGTACCCACATGGCAGCTAATAACTGTCCATAACTTCAGTCCCAGGGAATCTGACAGCTTCTTCTGACCTCCATGGGCATTGCACTACACGGGCGCACTTACCCACATGCAGGCAATACATGCATACAGATAAAATAAAAATAATAATAAATAATTTTTTTAAAAAGGGAGGGAATTTGGATAGAGATACATGGATAGGATGAAGAAATATGAAGAGACATAGGGAGAAGACAGCCGTCTTACAAGACAAGAAGAAGGACCTAGAATGAGGTCCTTCACAGCCTTCAGAAGGAAGCAGCCCTGCTGACGTTGCCAGGCATTATGAGACACTGTGATCCTGTCAGAGAGTAAATTTCTATTGTTTAAACCATCTAATCTGTGGTATTTTGCTATTTAAGTCCAAGCAAGTTAACATACAAGGTTAGGACTGTTTTCCTAAAACATAACTAAGACTTCACATATGGAATCTATGACACATGGTCCTTGGACTTGTCTCTCCACGCCTCCATCCAGGACTCTGAACTGGACCTTAAAGGGAGTAGACATGGACATGAACTGGGAAAAAGTGATATGTAGACATCACCAAGTTATCTCTGTTTACTTTTCTCTCATTTATCCTGGATTAAACTTTATATCTAGAGCTTTGTTTACAAAATAAATTTCACTAGCTAGGCATGGTGGTGCACACCTGTAATCTGAATATTCAGGAGACTAAGGCAAAATAATTGTAAATTCAGGGTTAGCCTGTGGTATACAGTGAGACTTTATCTCAAAAAGTTTAAAAAAAGAAAAAAAACCAAAACCCGACCTTTTTACTACATTGACTATTGAAGTAGAACTGGCATGCGGGAGGAATATGTTGTTTTTAAATTATTCCTTCATAGAAAACCAGATTTATTTTTGATCACTTATGAACTTAGAATCCCTCTAAAATATTTCTTATAAATACAATCTGTTTGCAGATTTAAATATTGGCACTGGCATGACATGAAATTAAACAGACTTAGTGCAGTTAAGTTTTACTGGCAGCTATTGGTTAAAAAAAAAAAAAAAACAACTCATAGAGCCGGGCGTGGTGGTGCACACCTTTGATCCCAGCACTCAGGAGGCAGAGGCAGGTGGATCTCTGTGAGTTCAAGGCCAGCCTCGTCTACATGGTGAGTTCCAGGCCAGGTGGGGCTACAGGGAGACCTTGTCTCAAAAAGACAAAAAAAAAAAAGAGATACATACAGGAATGAAAACTTCCCACTGTAGCTTTAGTCCACTCCTCACTCTCTCCAGCCCCAGCCTGTCTCAGGGGACTGCTGCTAATCTGAAGCTCCAGTAAACTGGGCCAGCAGCAATGTGATGACTGTTCTTGCAGGTAGCATCACTGCTCTGTAAGTACCTGTTTTCCCCTTTGACTTTGACTTTCACCCCTTGATTCTTTTTTTCAGGAGCACAGAACTGCATCAGCATTAGCCCTGAGCTCCAGCCACATACTTCCTTTTACTTCTCTTTCAAAGTATGGTTGACTTTTGTAGGTGCTAATTCTTGATGTCTTGTGTTTTTGTTTATTTTTCAGAATGAGAGGTTTAGGAAGCCAATAAACAAAAAAGTTTGAGTATTACTCCGTAAAAATTTTCTTTTCAGTTACTTGTGTGAATCATTACCAGCATTCTCTTAGTCTGTGGCTCTGCTAGAAGTGTGCATGTAAGATGTTATACCAGTTAGGGAAAGAGAACACAGCTTCTTAAAGGGTCAGAGAAACCTTACAAAACCTAACCAAATGCCCCACTCACGCAGAGATGGTCTTCTCTCGAGGTTCTGGAGGAAGTCCTACTGTTAGATGTTTTTGATAGGAGAGAAGGTCGGTGCAGGCCTGAGAAGAGGGAGTGTACCATTATCACTGTACACAATTTCAGACTTCCACAACATTTCTCTTCTCAGCCTATAAAGCTTTGCTCTCCGTTAATTTACAACAATACACTAAACGTTCTTTCTCAAGAAACACCATGATCACTAAGAGGGCTTTCCAGGAAGAAACATTAAGGTGGTACTTTTACCTTCTGGGAGACAGGAACTTTTAGCCTAGTGTAACTACATTAAGATTTAAAAGACTTATGGTTGGGGCTGGAGAGCCAACTCAGCAGTTAAGAGTACTGGCTGCTCTTGCAGAGGACCCAGGTTTGGTTCCCCGCACCCACATGGCAGCTAACAGCCATCCATATCTCCAGTCCCAGGGGATCCAATGCACTCTTCTGACCTCCGTGGGCATTGTAAGGCAAGGGTGCACTTACATATATGCAGGTAATATACTCATACACATAACATTTATGATGGAATGCATGAGGTCCAGTGGGGGTGTGAGTGTAGGGGGGCATAGATGGGAAAGGGGTCTAAATTTGATTAAGAACTGTTGTATGAAATGTACACAAGCTCAATAAGGAGTTTAAATTTTTTTTTAATTCTTATGGTTTATAACACCCTTCAATTCTGTAGTTGTTTTGGTTCAGTAAGGCATAATTGTCATTTACAAATAAAAATCAGTATCAGAAATTTTATGTATGAAAGAAAACACCAGAAACAATTAGAGGTTGTAGATGCTTTAAAAACAATTATGAAAATCAATGATTTTCCCCCTGCAGTGCAAAGGACTGGATCCTCCGCACACAAGGCAAGTACTCTAGCACTGAGCTACACTTTCAGCTCTGAAATGACTTCAAAAATAGCTCTCCATTTAGGAAAGGAACCATGGAGGTAAAGGGAAAAAAAGTCCAAGAGAGGGGGTAGTAGGAGACAGATGTTACTAAGGGGGAAATGGGAAAATGGGGGGGGGTGTTTAACTGGAAAGGGAGAAGAGAGGATTATACACGTAACCATGGGAGTAAAGGGGAAAGAGCTCAAGAGAGGGGAGATAACAGGAGATAGGTATTAACAAAGGGAAAATGGAGGTACTTTAATTGGTGAGGGAGTAGGGAGGTTTAGACTAGGAGAGGAGAGATAAATAATGCTGGTATAAAAAAACCAGAGGGAAATGTATCAGTTCAAAACCTACTGAAAAATATACATAAAATACCTATATATTAGTGCATGTGTATAGTTGAAGGCTATATAACAACACTGTGCCAGACAGGAGAAATCCCCCTTCAAATTGTTGGCCAGAGTAGTCCAAGAGACTCCCAGAATACCACAGGCTATTGCTACAGCCCTTGATTACTTCCCAGAACTTGAAGGTAAGACCCTATTTTTGAAGACAGGCACATCAGACATAGAACTTGGAGCAATGGAACTGGAACTAACCTGGAAGTCTCCTCTCTAAAGGCTGGCGCTCATAGTTTTAGAAGATACTATGCAAGCATTAAGGAAGAAAAAATCAATAAATGGACCAAGCCCAGTTTTAAAGCCTGATAACCACAACAATGAGTGGCACAGCAAACTATATTGGTGCAGTAGTGGCACTTTTATCTTGGGGGTAATCAACAGATATCTAATTTGATTTGGAGTCTGCTCAATGGGAAGGAACACATGTGTGGCACTGTAAACATAGCCAAATACACATGGCTGGAGAGGTCATAGATCCTAGAGAGGTCATAGATCTTAGAGAAAATCCTGCATCTGTCACATCCCTAGACAAATGTGATTTCTTACTGTACACAGAATATGATTCCTTATATTACAGACAAGGATACCAGTGACCACTCATTTAAGAAGCTTCTTTTTGCAACAGATGGAGACTATTACAGAGATTCACAACTGGTCACATACAGAGAATAAGCTTGTGAGATTCCTAGCTATAAGTGACACATTTACAATGGAACCTCTATACCTAAGGCTCATGGAAAAGAGTGGAACAGTGGGTAGAGAGACTATTAATGCATCAGCAAAGCTTCCTCATGCAACAGAGGATGATGGACACAGAAGGCCACAACTGGCCAAAGTGTAAAGTATAAGAGATTTCAGAGTATGTGTCCCTAGATAGGACACAAAATTCACCCACACAGAGCTCAGGGATCATTGCAGAAGAGGGGGTGGAAAGATTCTAAGAGCCAAGGGTGGTGCGTGACTGTAAGGAAACAGAATCTCTCAGGCTTCAGGGAACTTGCTCATATAAACTTACAGCAATGGTGACAACATGCATAAGACCAATATAAACTCAGTCAGACAAAAACATCAGCATAGAACTGGGGAAATGGGCAGGAGGCCCCAACCTTAGCTGAGGAACTATTGTCAGCTGATTACAGTGGGGAGAGAGAAGAGCTCATCTTTAAGGGAGTGATGCTAGATGGGCTGAACAGGCTCCAGTGGATGAACTCACAACCAGGGACATCTGGGTACACAAACTTGACTCAATAGGCCTTAACACATATGGCAGAATGCACAAAATCTGTGGGTAGGCTATAGGGTGGTGGAGATACGGGAGAAGGTCTAAATATGATTAAGATGTATTGTATGAAATGCACAAAAAATTCAATAAAATATACATTGAGAAAGAACTTTTGTGGAAATAAAAAATACCTCCCCATTTAGATTTGGTATAAATTCAAGAAGAACTTATTATTACCTCATCAAGTGCCTCCACCTTTTTCCTTAGGATCCCAGAGATGTATCGGATCAGGCCCCAGTGCCGAATTTCTCCAACTTTGCAATACAGTTCACTAAGAAGCTCTCTGACTGTAGCACCCCCTTCTTTGTACAATTCGGTGTCCCAGTCAGGTCCCCTAGCATTGCAAAGATGGGGCTACATTAATTATATGAAAAATCTCAGGCAAAAATCTTTTTTTTCAGTGTGATAATGGATATACTTTTTTGATAGGCCTACTTAAGTAGAAACTATTATTTACTAAGGACTCATAAAACTATGATTAACAGTCATTCTTAAAAGCCAAATATATAGACACAAATTTTTTTGTTTTAGCTGTGCTTTGACATAATGCATTCTCTTACCCATGTCACAAACTTCAATATAGCTAAAATTAAAGACAGAGATTTGACTACTGAAATTTCAGAAAGCATACTGTATTTCAAAAGCTAATAAAATAGGGGCCGGAGAGATGGCTCAGCAGTTAAGAACACTGGATGTTCTTGCAGAAGACCTGGGTTCGAATCCTAGCACCCACATGGCAGCTAACAAGTGTCCGTAACTCCAGTCCCAGGGGATCTGACAGCCTCTTCTGACCTCTGTGGGCACTGCACGACATGGGTGCACTTACCTACATGTAGGCAATACACTCATACACATAAACTAGAAATAATAAATAAAATATTTTTAAAAATCTAATGAAATAAGAATGTATGTTTTTGTTTAAAGGATACAGATACATTGGTGTTATATAATAACTGTTATTTGGTGTCAACTAAGTCAATTAAGAAATACGTAAAGCTATCTGAAATTGGGAATTTAATAAATGACAAATGTAAATTATTTATTAAATTAAGACCATCAAGTACCTATCTGGGAAAAAGTTAATCTATGCTTGACAGTCTATATAATTCCAAATGTGTCAAAAGTTATACAGGCTAAGGTGTTAGAAAATATATGGGAAAATTAGTTTATAAATTTGGAAAGAAGAAGATTTTCTAACTATGGAACACTCACCATAAGCAATAAACTTTGATACATTTATACATAAAATAATAAAAATTCTTACTGCAAAACCACTGCATGCAGAGTGTAGGATAAATTACAAAATGGCAAAAATATTTGTAATTCATAGTCCAATTCTTCTTGTAAAGAACAAGTAGATAAAAATATAAGAAATTGCACAAGAAAATTTGGTAAAACAAATATTGGTAGCCTTTAAATATAAGAAAAAGTAGTCAACCTCACACTAAATAAAAATTGGAATGAACATATATCAAGATAACATTTTTATTGTACCAAGCTTTCAAAAATCCTCAAATTTGATAACATTGTATTGGGTGAGGCCTAGCACTTGCAGCAATCCCTGGTGGGAGTGAAAATTAGAATGAGCCTTCTGGAGGGCTATTTGGAAATACTGGAAAGAGCCTGGCAGTTCTTACAATGATTAAACCCAGAGTTACCATATGATTCAGAATTTCTACTCTTGGTTATATAGCCAAGAGAAATGAAAATTTATGTCTGCACTAACTTGTCCACGAATGTTCACACTAGCATTATTCACAATAGCCCCAAAGTGAGAATAATTCAAACATCCATCAATAAATAAAATGTGCTGTAGTAAAACAGGCAATATTTGGCAATAAATGAAGTACCAATATTTTTTTCTATGACATGGACATACCGTTGAAAATACTACACTAAATGAAAGATGCTTGTTATATAGGACCACATATTATATGACTCAATTTATAGAAAATGTCCTAAACAGCAGAAAGTAGATTTATGGCTATCTAGGGCTGGGTATATTAAAGGGATTGAGAGTTAATGGATAAAGGGAGAGGGGTTCTTCTTAGGATAATGAAAATGTTTTAAAATGGATAGTAGTGAAAGATGCACAATACTGTGACTAAACAAAACAAACAAACAAACAAAAAATTTAAAAACCATTTAATTGCTTTAGTTCCCAGCACCCATGAGGTGGCTTGGGCATTTTATGACACAGGTACACTTACACACACGCAGGCAATACATTCATTCAAATAAAATAAAAAATAAAATTTTGGGGTGGAAGTTGATACAGGTTTCCAAAGCTGGCCTTAAATTTAATATGTGGCCAAGGATGACCTTGAACTTATGATCGTCCTGCTTCTACCACCTAATAGCTATGATTATAGACATATATCAATATACCTTTCTAAAAATGCCTATAATTTTGCTTTATCAATTCAATTTGTGGTTTAATGTAAATTCCTTCTACACATGTGTAATAATGTATGTTAGAAGTTATCTACTATAAATACTGTTACAGTCAATGACTGGAAAACACCCAAATGTACATTTATAGGAGAGTGGTTCAATAAATTGTGGCATATTCAAATAATACAATTTTATACAACTATTAGAAAACAAAAGGTAGGTACCAGTGCTTCTGTAAACTAACCCTCACAAATGCTGTTGTAAGCAACCCTAATGTAATTCACCAAGTCATAAAAAGACATGAAAGTATTGTTGGGAAGAGGCATGAGGTCAGCAGGAGTGGGACAGGAATAAGAGAAGGTGACAGGGGTGGGCATCAAAATATGATCAAAACACATGTAAATTTTTATTTATGTGTATGCTTGTGTGAATGCATGCCAAGTGTGTGGTGGTGCCCATGCCCTCAAAGGCCAAAAGAGGGTATCAGAGCCTTTGGAGCTATAGTTATAGGTGGTTGTGAGCCACCATGTGGGTGCTTGGGAACTGAACCTGGGTCCTTTGGAAGTGTAGTAAGCACTCTTAACTGATGACCCATCTCTCAAGCCCCCTAAATACATTTTATATACATATCAAAATGTCATAATGAAGGCCATTATGTATAATCAATACATACTAATAAAAATAAAAGGTAAAATGTAAAATATAAGGTAAATTTAAGTTTTCTAAAATGGCTATAACAATTTCCCGTTCAACATGCTCTTCTTACAATTTGATTCCTATACAACCCCTCTGGAGGTGGGTGTGTATGCTCTTCCTATGATAGTCTGAATGAAAATGTCCCCCATAAGCTCCAAGTATTTGGACATTTTGTCCCCAGATGATGGCGCTGTTTTGGGAGGTTTAGAAGGTGTGGCTAGCCTGGAGGAAGCACATCATTGGGGGTCGGCTTAGAGAGTTCTTAAGCCTTGCCAGATCTCCAAGTGCTCTCTTGCTTCCTGTGCCTGTGTGATGATGTGAGAGCTTAGCTTCTGCTGTTCCTGCTCCAGCCACCTCCAGCCACCATGCCTCTCTGCCATGACGGACTGTAATTCTCCTGGAACTGGAAGCTCAGATAAACTCTCCCTTCTATAAATTGTTTGGGTCAGTGTTTCTATCACAGCAACAGAAAAGTGACTAATACAGTAATTGGTACTAGAGAGTGGGCTGTTGACCGTGAAGAACCTGACTATGTGGGGTTTTGGAAAAATGTGGAAGACTCTAGAAGTTTGGGCTAGAAAAGCAGTTGATTGGTGTAAGTAGAGCTTAACAGGTCATTCTAGTAGACTCCTGGAAGAAAGTAGTGCTGAGAACAATGTAGTTGCAGAGGGAAATAAGGACTTAAGCAGCAACTGGGATATTTTGGCAAAGAGTCTGGCTGGAGTCTGCCCACAGCCAAAAAGCTTACCTGAGGCTTAATTTGAAAAGCCATGGACTAATTTCTCTGGCAGTAGAAATTTTAAGACAGCATAATGTAGAAATGGTGGTGTGGCTATTAATGGTGAATATTATACAGATTTGCAGTGAAAAAGAGCCAATGGGGCAGAAAGAAATACAGAATGTACAGGATGGATTGAAAAAGAGCACTAGGAAGATTAATGTTGGAGCCCTGGCATGTGATGGAGAGGATCCCATTGATAAGGAGATTAAAGTGATTAAGGAGTGGGCCTAGAGATTCAGACTTAAACAATGGAGAGAATGCTTCCAGGGCAAGACCACACCCAGTTAAGCCTCCAACTTGTGAAAAAGGAAAATGCTGCAGGGACCACTGAAGAGAAAAGCTTCTAAAATGGATAAAGCAGGCTGGAATCCATCCCAAACTTGCAGTCGAACTTGGCAGTGTTGTTCACCTGGTGCTGGCTTTAGAGGCATGAAAGATGCAAGAGTGAAGGGGTCATCAGTTTTTCCTCTGTGGTTTCAGAGAGCCACTGAGGCCAGGCAGCATGCAGCAGGGGTTCACCTGCATAGAGAAGGCCCTGATAGGCCATAGCGTGAAGCTGTGAAGGTGAAGCCTGGTTGGCAATGGAGACCCCAAGAAGACGTTCATGATGCCAGAGCTGTGAGGCATCTGCCAAGAAGACCTGCATACAGGGAGTGGTACCAGCACAAGAGAGAGATGTGTATTGCATGCAGCAAAGCTGGAAAGGCTGAGCCATCTAAGCCCTTTGGAAGTAAAGTCCCAGAAGTCGGACATGAAGCTACTGGATTTGGTGTTTGTCCTGATGGTTTTTGGTCTTGTTTTGGTCCAGTATTTCCTTACTATGCCTCCATTCCTCCCTTTTGGAATGGTAATGTGTATTTGGTTCCATTGTATGTTGGGAGTATGTAATTTGTCTTTTGATTTTATAGAGGCTTACAGAAGAGACTTTGGACTCTGGACTTTTAAAAAGTATTGAGACTGAGAATGACTATGGGGACTCCTTTTTGTCTTTTTGAAGCAGGGTCTCCTTGTAGCCCCAGCTGTCCTGGAACTCACTATGTAGACCAGGCTGGCCTTAAACTCATAGAGATCTGCCTGCCTCTGCCTCCCAAGTGCTGGGACTACAGGCATGCGCCACCATGCCCGGCTAACTATGGGGGCTTTTAAAGTTGGACTAAATGCATTTTGCATTTTATATGGTCATGAGACTATGGGGACCAGAGGGTGGAATGTGATGGTTTGAATGAAAATGTCCCCCATAGGCTCCAAGTGTTTGGAAATTTTGTCCCCCAGATGATGGCGCTGTTTTGGGAGGTTTTAGAAGGTGTGGCTATCCTGGCTAACTATGGGGGCTTTTAAAGTTGGACTAAATGCATTTCGCATTTTATATGGTCATGAGACTATGGGGACCAGAGGGTGGAATGTGATGGTTTGAATGAAAATGTCCCCCATAGGCTCCAAGTGTTTGGAAATTTTGTCCCCCA